TAGACACAACACGGCAGATTATTGGGGCTCTAAGAGAAACACAGAGAAGGGCTGTAAGAACACAAAGGAAGAAAAACTGCTTCCAGCTGGTTGGGATTCATAACTTAGATGGTCTGGCCTTGTAAATATTCAAGAAGCAGGTTGGACATCAATTCCATTTCCTTCCTTTGTCCCTTAAATCAGGTAAAACCTAAGGCTATTGGAAAAGGTTGAGGCATAAGAAAAATCAGCTGTCGGGTGGTAGATCAGGAGAGCTGAAGGAAAGAAGAGAACTGAATCCATTTGTAAGGACCTCAGGAGAGGAAATTCCATATTCTCCCTCATAACATATGATAGCAGGAACTGGGCCTCGGATTCTGTTTGAAGAGCACTGGAATACTTGGCTTTATATTATAGACCCTCTGTCAGGCAATTCTTTTTCATGTTTAACCAAGATTCTTCACGTTTCTGTGGCTATCACTGCATGTAAGAACTGGCTAGTTCCTTATGGCATTACAGACTAACACACAGTTACATTTAACTCTCTTGATTTTCTTGGTATTCCTTTCAGAAGTGACAGATGAATTTCTCCTTCGCTCATGGAAGAAACAAAGCTTAGCAAATTCTCTAAATGCAAAAGAAGAGGGTGATAATTTTGGCTTAACAATATAATAGCCTTTGAATCCACAATGTCTATTACCTCTTAGAAAATTTTCCCACAATGAAGTTGCCTTATAAAAAGAAATGGCCCTAGTTAAAATGCCCCCATTCTTTCAACCATATAATTAGCTGCTGGATTTTGAAATTACATTCAGTGAACTTAAAGATACCCTTAAAGAGCTTCTAGAACTTGCTGGAAAGTGTTAATCCCAAACAGTTCCCTTCCATAGTTTTTGTAAGAGAACAGTTGAAAGTAAAAGCTATGTGTGATCATGAGATAACTTCTCCATGTTCTACTAAAAACAAAGACTTTAGGTAATACTTGACAAACTAATTAAGCAGTTAAAATGCGATGTCTGTTTACTGTGCATAATATAAAAAACTACAGATAAAACCAGAGGTAGCAAACTTTTAGGCTATTATAGGTAAGCGGCCAATTCTAATATTTTGATAGAGGTCCTCAAAACAAAATGAAAACAAGTGCACCACAGATCATTCTACTGTTACCATTTGGTATTCAGAAGGCTGCAGGTTTGTATTTGACCTTTCCTAGTATTGTTTTCTCAGCGAGCAACACACTTACTACAACTCTGCTTGCTAAGTTCTGAGATGGTTCTTAGAGCAGACCCTGGGCTTTGCAAGATGTCAAGAGGTTACAGAGAGAAGGCCTGGAGACATTCTTCTGTATTGCATGACCAATAGTGTCACCAGTATACTATCTCTCAGCCCCCAGCCTCTCTAGTGCTTGAGGACTCACAATAGCAGACACTGACTGACTCCTTGAAGGGACATCCCACTACCTTCTCAAAATGATCAAACACATATTGATTGCTCTGACACCCAGGACTTCAGACCAAATTGAATATTACATTATACCATAAAAATTCCTATTTTTATCCTGTTTACATACCTGGCAAAGTAACCACCCACTGACATGTAAGATTAAAGCAAATGCACGGAATCTGAAACAACCCAAGGTAATACCATCTTCTTCAGCACTGGCTAATAACAAGGCTCTGATTATGGCACAAAATAAGTAGTATATGGTTTACTGGTCTCAAGAATATGTGGCTGTTCTGTTAGCTCAGTTGGTTAAAAGCATGGTGCTGATAACACCAAGGTGTAGGGTTCAATCTCTATACTGGCCAGCAACCAAAAAAAGAAAAAAAAAAGAATGTTATTTATTTTTCTAGTCATCACAACATAGTTGTAATAACTATTTAAGCTTTTTGTAGACCAAGATTGTTGCCCCAAAGTCTGTATTAAATTTTTAGTAAGTAGGTATTTAAATTGTGTAAGTCAGGTGTTATTTTAGAGCAAATATTTGTAAAAACAAAAACCAAAACCAAAATCCAATGAAAACAAACAATACACTGTAGGAGGGAATAAAATGGCTATTTAAAAAGCTGGTTTTAGTATTTGTCACTTCAGCAAGGAGTGTGTGTGTTATTTTAGAGCAAATATTTGTAAAAACAAAAACCAAAACCAAAATCCAATGAAAACAATACACTGTAGGAGGGAATAAAATGGCTATTTAAAAAGCTGGTTTTAGTATTTGTCACTGCAGCAAGGAGTGTGAGGGTGGGGTGCAAACAGATTTTTGTTGGCTTTTGAAGCCAGGTCCAGTATTTGCTGTGACAACAGGGAAATGAGAAATGACATGATACTACAGAGCATTTGCTAGAGAAGCAAGAGGAAATCAAAAGGAGGGGGAATTAAAGCCCACTTCATTGTGTAAGATGTCTAATAAAACATAGCACTGTTGAATCTAGAATTTTGGTAAAACTGAAAACTGTTTTTTGCGGGGTTTTTTTGGCAGCTGGCCAGTACAGGGATTGAACCCTGGACCCTGGTGTCCTCAGCACCATGCTCCCCGTTGCCGGTCCCCGGTCCGGTGCGGGGGCAACACTGAGGGTTGTGATCCGTTGCCGGACACGGAAAAAAAAGACAAAAAAACAAACAAACACCGATTTCTAGAATAATCCATGTACTATTTAAAAATAAGGGCTAGCTGGTTAGCTCAGTTGGTTAGTATATGGTATTATAGCCAAAGTAAAGGATTTGGATCCCCTTACTGGCCAGCCACCAAAAAAAAAAAAAAAGCAAAAGTTGCATAAAAAGTACAAAAAAATTTAATAATCACATGAAATTTATGTTCTAAAGATAATCACTGACAACATTTTGATGTGCTTTTTTCTAAACACACTTTAAAATAAAAATTTGCATCTTATGGGATAACATATTTAATAAAATGATGTTTTCCACTTTATGCAGTGGTTACATTAAACATTCCAGACATAAGAAACAACTTTTTGAAGCCCTTCCTCATGCCCAAGTCCACTCTTATGTTCAGAGGATGAAAAGATCACTTTTGGTTTGGATGACCTGGAAGATTTTATAAATGAGTGGTTATCTGAGTGAGACCTTTAGGAATGGTGGGATATTTGAGAGGCACAGATGAGGAAGGCATACATTTTAGGTGGAAGAAATAGAATGAACACATTTGTGAAGGTGGAAATACCCAAGGGCATACACAAACTTGTCTGACTCACAGGGAGTACTGGGAAGGAAGGAAGAGGGTGGACTGCTAAGCTAAGGGCTGTGAGCAAAGAGAGGAATAACAAGAAGCAGGGAGTAAGGAAAAAGGTGTCCCCAGAAATACTAGGCAGTTAAAAAGAAAAGAAAAAAAAAAAGGCGGATAAGGGCCTTTGGAGCTGGCAACTGGGTCATCCGGATGGATGTCCTCAGTAGTAACTCTGGAGGGAGGGTAACTTTCAGTTCAGCTGGTGGGGGCAAAGACCAGGAAATAGAGGTTTGCAAAGACTGTTTCTTACAGGGAGAAATCAGGCTGTGAAAAGCACAACAGAGTATTAGCACTGACTAGGTTATCAGAGTCGGCAGCAATCTGCTTTCCAAGACGGCAAACTGGTAAGGCTGGAGTTAGAGACCTCTCCTCTCTAACAGGAGAAAGAAGTTATGTACTGAGCTATAGAGATGGAAAGATGAAGGTCCTCACTCTCAGTGGTCTTAATTTCGTTGATAAAGAGAAGAGATCATCTGCTGACAGAGGGAAGAGGTGGTAGGGACTTGGAGGAAACTGAAAAGGGGAATAGAGTAGAACTACAGAGTAAGAGTGGCCATCTAGTTCAGGTGGAGAGCATGACTTCCTGGTGGGGCATGTTAAAGGAGTCATACAGTCTTCCCCAGAACACTCTCAGTCCTGAGGGTCCTGGCTGAAAGTCCCATTGGAGTCGGGATATTTGTGAGAACAATCAGCAGTTGACCTTTGTAATGTGCTGGCCAGGTAATGGAAGGAGGCTTAAAGGGATCTAGCAGATGGGGTGGGGTGGGGTGGGCTGGGAGACAGAGTGCTTGGGAAGAATAGCAAGTATATAGAGTGTGGGTACCCTGGCGGTGTTTTTTTAGGGGGAAGGTGCAGAGGCAATGGCGTTCTAAATTACACCAACGTATTTCAATACATATGTGTACGGCACTATGCAATCCAGAAACAAAAAGTTTTGGGGAGCAAAGCAGTTGGCTGAAAGAAGCCCAGGGAGCCTGATTTTGATAATTTGCTCTTATAATTTCTGAATCAAACAGAATTTAAAAACACACTGGAAAATGCATCAGCCTTAGAAATAATCTGACAGCTGAGTCCAATGAGAGTGGAGATGGGTGCTGTAACTCAGGAAGGTTTGTGTGGTAGCCACTTGGCAGTCAATTCACTGTACAGGGAAAGGAATGGCTCAGGTTAATAAAGCAGCTTAAATTACTTAAAGGTGGTTAGGTTGCAAACTATGTATATGCCAACCACGGAAAAAGAGTGCCTCCCACAGAAAACGTTCAGAGAAGGTGTGTAGATAATAGGAAAACACAAGGAGACTTTTTTTTTTAAAAAAAGATGACCGGTAAGGGGATCTTAATCCTTGACTTGGTGTTGTCAGCACCACGCTCTCCCAAGTGAGCCACAGGATGGCCCCCCAGAAAGACATTTAAATCAGGAAGGAGTTTACCTTTCTTTCCCAACCTCCTATAAAACTAAAATGTTGTATGGCACACGTCAAAACTAGCAGCTATAAATTCTCAAATGCATAAACAAAGCTTTGAATTTGTAATTATGCAGTATATTATAATGTTAATAGGCAAGAAAATGCAGTAGGTTTTAAAAAAACCTATAGAATTAGGGTTAATCACTTGTACCCTGCAATTTAATGATGTATGATGATTTGAGAAGATGTAAGACCTTAAAGTTAAAAGCAGTCACCAACCTCTTATTCTAAAATCTAGGTGTAATAAATAAATCTAGTTAAAGGGAAGGGAGCAACTACAAAATTAACAAAAGGAGGAAAAAAATACAGTACCTCTGGATTCATTATCCCTTCTTTTTTAAAACAGCTGTAAAACATGTCCATGGAAAATACTTCACTCCAAAGATATCCATAATATTGGCCATCATATCCCCCTGCCAAATGTCCAAAGGTAGCTGGCATATTTGTGCCTTTAAAAAAAGATACATTTCAATCAATGTGATGGCAAATGTTAATTATCAGGTTATCAGCTAGCTAAAGTTTCCCTCTGGGGAGCCCAACTGTGGGAGGAGTGAATGATAGGATCTCACCTTTAGTTCTCTCTGGGTTTATGTGTGCCCTTGGCCAAGATGTTTACAAACTTCTCTCCTATCAATGTCTCAACATCAAAGCTGGTTTCGGCTCTAAGCTCTGGAATGCCTAACAATAGTTTCAGAGGCTTTGTCTACACCCATTAGCCAGCTCAGTGTTTAGAACTGAAGCCAGTCCTTTCTTCTTCCTTAGGCTCCAATGTGTCTTAAAATACTCTAATTACTAACCCTACTCTTTGCCATACCTCTTCATATCTAAAAGGTCTCAGAATGGCACCTATTTTATTTATTTATTTATTTATTTATTTATTTATTTTTACAAGATGACCGGTAAGGGGATCTTAACCCTTGACTTGGTGTTGTCAGCACCACACTCACCCAGTGAGCTAACCGGCCATCCCTATATAGGATCCGAACCCGTGGCCCTGGTGCTATCAGCACCACACTCTCCTGAGTGAGCCACGGGCCGGCCTGGCACCTATTTTAGGTTGATAATTACTGAAAAGAACTCTTGGAAAGTGATAAAGGCTTTACCAATGCCATCTGCTTGTAGGGCTGCTCTATTTCATTTATTTATGTATATATTTGTTAAGTTAGAAAGGATTTTATCATAGTGGCTTGAGGCACAAAGTTGCTCTATGGTTTACTATAAACAGATCACCAAAGATGTGAGGAGCCTAGATTGACTCAACTGACCATTCTTATCTTTACTGTCTTTACAAATGGAGATGATTCATTTTAATACTAATTTCCTTGGTGAAAAAAATTCACCTTACCAACTATATGTTGCCTTAAAATATATGCATATAAATATATTCTCTCTAATGAATCCCATAAATCTCAGGTTAGAAACTACTAGTCAAATGCTTTAACTGACTTCAGAATCAGAAACAAGGTAGAAGTTGGGGCTTCTCTCTAAAAATGCTCCTTCTGCCAATTTCTTATTGAAAATCATAGCAAAGTCACAGTGCATCTAGGGAGGGTGCTGCCAAACGTGAATGGCTGTCTCAGCTCTGGGGTGGAGGCCAATTGCTCATGCCTAATTACACTAAAATGCTGTGAATCTGGAGCCACCTTTCCTTCAAGCACATTTGGACAGCATAACTCTTAAGGACATAGTATGCTTATCTGAAAGTCTTGGCCTGATTACAGAAATCAGAAACAAATTAGGTAATCTCCCCCCACTGCAGTGCTAGGAGTATGCCCTGTGTTTCACAGGAAAAGTAGACTCAAGTCATATTGTTTACGTACCTGGAGTAGCTGCAACACCTAAAATTTCTGTGCAATATTTGGCATATTCACTTGCAGCATCCAGCGATGTATTGGTATGGAGAGACTGATCAACTTTGCTCAAAACAATCTGACGTAGGGTCAGAAGACCTAATAACATAAGAACGTTTGAACATGTTTTGGAGAAGAGAGAACCATGTATTGTTTTTTGTTTTTTTTTTTTTTGGACTGGTAAGGGGATCTTAACCCTTGGCTTGGTGTTGTCAGCACCACGCTCAGCCAGTGAGTGAACCGGCCATCCCTATATAGGATCCGAACCCGTGGCCTTGGTGTTATCAGCACTGCACTCTCCCAAGTGAGCCACGGGCCAGCCCTAGAACCATGTATTCTTAAATCATAAGACCACAGACTTCAAAAACTGACTCCAGTAGTATCACAAAATGGGAGCAAGACATCTCATTCTACTTAAGATTTAAAAGATGTGTTTTTTTTTTCTTAGACATAATCCCAGGGTGCCCTATTCCAATATATTTAGTGTTCTACTCTCCTCATATTAGCACTCTTGGAGTACCATTATTATAAAAGGGAAAATAAGTTCTAAAGAAGAAGATGCCAGCAGTTCCTCCTTTTCTAAAATTACAAGTCATACCTGTGTTGACCAGTCTAGAAGCAACAAGTTTTTCAAGCAGATTATCGGCAATAGGGCTTCCATCTTTATAATGTTTTGATAATCTTCGGAGGGAATCAATGTCCCACACCCAATTTTCAAGCATTTGTGATGGTACTTCTACAAAGTCAGTTTCCACATTTGTTCCGCTAAATCGTGCAAAATCAGTCTAGAAAGCAAACAGAGGTTTTTTCTTAAAGCACTCAGTGAAAACTATATATGTGATGAATTATAATTAAGACTCAGCACCAAAATTTCTGAAGGCAGAATCAGAGTCAACTGCCTCTTTGAATGAAGGGTTAGAATAACCTCAAATTTAAGTGAAAATAAAACACAGAAGCCAAGAAGCATGAAAAATAACCCCCAAATACTCTATATTAAAGTAATATTTCATTCCTTTGAATTATAGATAAACTTGGAACAATCATCAGGAAATCATAACTGAAAAAAAATCAGTTTAAGGTAAAATCAAGCTTTAAGCTTCGAAAGTAAAAATGCTTTTAAAGAATTTTCCGTTAAAAACAAAGAGATCCATGAAACAAGCAATTTCTCCCTAGCTTTTCCTTTCAATTGCTTAGTTCTGTTTACTCTATACATACCTTTCCAGGGCATGTGTCACTTTATTGCTTAACTACTCAAGTTTTATTTTATTTTTTTAATTTTTAATTTTTAAGTTTTTTGTGGCAGCTGGCCAGTACAGGGATCGAACCCCGGATCTTCATGTTATCAGTACCATGCTCTAATCAACTGAGCTAACCTAACTACTTAAATTTTAATAAAAATCAATTAGAGAGTTAAATTACAACATTACAGACCGATACCCTTTGAGTGTGTGATGTTTTGTTTTAAATTTTAAATAAGTGATTCTGAGATAACTGAGTTGTAGAAAGCCTGAGTTGTACTCTCAGATTGGGTAAAAGATGTTACCTTAAAATAAGAAGCCACTTCAGTGGGAGTTAGGTCTGTAAATTAGTTGGCAAGTGGGGTGAGTTAAATGCTACAGAAAAAGAAAAACAAAGGATATATTCAAAAATTAAAGCACCCCTGGCAAAAATAAAAAACTTATTCTGAGAGCCTGGTCTAAAAGTTAAAAAAAAAAAAAAGTTTAAAAGAGTTTAAAAAAACAAAGTTTAGTAAATTATTGAGTCAGATGTCAGAAAGGCTCTTGAGCAGAAAGATGATGGAGATTCAGTGGAATAGGCTAGTATTTTTTAAATCTTTACGCTGTCCACGGAATACCTGTAAAATTGCCATTGGCAGGGAAAACTTAGTATTTACCCGCTGGGTCATCTGCAGAATGGGGGTCATTATTCTGTTGTGTTTCCCTGAACCTCTGTCCTGTTTTCCTTTTCAGATGCTTTACATTCCAACCTTCTCTCCCTGACTTCATCCCTGGGGCTCTGAATAGAGGGGAAAGGGAAGAGAGACTTAACCATGGAAAAGGCAGCAGATGGGATGCCAAATCAGCAGCAAATAACCATTCTGCTTTTGGCCCAGGGCAGAGGCACAGATGTCAATGCCACCTCACATTCTGCCTTCTTCTCTTCATGTGGAGAAAACAAAAACAAAAACAAAAATGTTTTGCTTGACTTCACATTATAATTGTGCTGATTTGAGATATGAAGAGCTGCAAATACTGAAGGGCCAAAGGAAACTAAATTCACGAGGCACTGGAATTAGGCCACCCCTGTTGAGGACATCCCCCCAAAAAATTCTTGTAAGGGAAGAGGCAAGGGTATATTTTACCTCATTCTGATATATAATATTGTAAGATTATATCCTACATTATGGATCAAACAATCTTCTGCAATAATTATAATAGCCAACACCTATGCATAGAGACTTTACCATGTCAGGCATTATGCTGGGCTTTTTACATGGATTATCTGGTTTAAATCCCAAAACAACTGTATGAAGTACTATTATCTCCACATTCCAGATAAGGAAATTGAAGTATACAGAGATTAGTGGAAGAACTAGGATTTAAAACCTTGGGCCAGCCCGGTGGCGCACTGCAATAGTGCGCCGCTTGGGAGCGTGGCGGCGCTCCCGCCGAGGGTTCGGATCCCACATACAGACCGGTTCCCGCTCACTGGCTGAGCGAGGCGTGGGAGCAACACCGAGGGTTGCGATCCCGTTGCCGGTCCCGGTCCGGTACGGGGGCGACACTGAGGGTTGCAATCCGTTGCCGGACACAGAAAAAGACAAAAAATAAAAAAAAAATAAAAAAAATTAAACCAAGCAGTTTGTCTCCATAACCCATAATCTTAACCACAAATGCTATAGTGCCTCTCCATCTCATTGAAAAATGAAAAAAAGGGTTAAATTATGATATTACAAAATGACTAAATCCTCTTGGAAGGGATCTAAAATAGAAAAGTCTTACATCAAATGTCCCTTTATATGAAGAGTTAAAGTGAGATTTCACTGTGCTTCCTTAGAAATTTGACTTCCTTTATATACTGAGAGATTTTTCAAAGATTAGACGTCAGGGCTGAGATATAAAGGTTAGCCTTTGTAACCATTTATCCTGAATTTGGGATTCTGTAATACTAACTGCATAATTTTCTAAGGATTATGAGTGTTAAACAGATACTAACAGAGCAAATAAAGGCAAAATCACACCATCAGCTACCACTATATATTGACAAATATATAAAATTTGTATATCCTGCTTATGTGAAGATTTTTCAAAGTCAGTATTTGCAGATAAGGGGGAAAATCACCCCAAATAACAACAAAAAAGTGTGTGTGTGGAGGAACAGTGTCAGTACTCAGAAAAAACATGAACAAATGAGTAACTCATGAGTTAGAGTTAAAATTGAATAAAATACGAATCAACACAGTTATGTCATGCAGAGTAGAGAAGAGAGGGCCTATTCTATCCAAAAGCCATGTTGTAGTGGGGGAGAGAGCACAGAGCAGAAATAAATAAATGAGCAGATCAACATCATCATCTAAAAAACAAAAGGAAGTGTTTGCAAGGAGTAAAAGCTAAAAATAACCCTACTGCTTACTAATTTCCCGAAAGTCAGTCACGCTGTTTCTCTGTGAGCCCGTTGGGCAACATCGTTTAAATATTTTTCAAATGAGGAGGAGAAAGAACCTTACAAAATTCAAAAGCTCAATTTCCTTGGTAAATGGACACAAAGAATGATTACATTTTGTAATAATGAATATACTAATTATCCTGATTTGATCACATATTGTACACAAATACTGATAGTCAACTCTATCCTACAAATATGTATAATCAATTATGTTTCAATTAACAACAACAACAAAAGCTTAATTTCCAGCAAACAACTAACTTCTCAAGAGAAAGGAATCCACAGTCGGTCACTACGTATGTCTGCACAGAATCCATGGGCAAGAATTATACGTAGCAGTCTGATGGGGCCCCACATACAAAACATCATGGCTGCTGAATTACTACCCTCTGCTGACAAGCCAGCAGATATCACTCCCCAGTTGTTTTTTTTTTTTTTTTTTTTTTTTTTTT